AACCCCTAATTCACAGAAATTCAATAATTTCGAATTCAAAGAAATTTACAAAAAAATTCAATTAAACACAAAGACCCTAATTTCGAATTCAAGCCTTAAATTGAAAAAACCCTAATTTTCAAATTCAACTCCTAAATTGAAAAAAAAAAATAAAAACTCTAATATTATGAACAAACCCCAAAAATCTGAATTTACCTTTGAGCTTGGTAATGCCTTCGTGGGTGTCGAGGAGGACGGTTTGCATGGAGACTTCTTTTTGGAGCCGGCCATTTCTTCACAGAGATGGCGAAGTGACAGAGAAAGAGAGAGACGAAGATGGCGGGCGATGGTGATTAACGAACAGAGAGAGAGAGCGCGCGCAGAGGTGGCGATGGCGATGTCGATGAAAAAACGAACAGAAAGAGAGAAGAGACCGGCGGCGAAAAAACGAGCAGAGAGAGAGAAGAGAGCGGCGACAAAAAGTGAGAAAAACCGAGGAGAGAAAGAGAAAGTTTACTTTATGAATAAAATGGCAAAATAAATGAATAATAAAAACCTTTCTTTATGTAAGGGGAGTGAAGTGGAAGAACAAAATTAGGGGTGGAGAGTGTAGAGGAAAATAATTTAAGGGGGGACTGATTTGAAAGTTCAAAAAGGGGTAAGGGATTTAAGTAGAATTTACCGACTTTTATATGTATGAATAATGAATAAAGCTACTTTGACATAAACAAGTACATTTAGTGTTGTTGATTTTAAAAACAACGTGATGTGTAAAATAATAACATCGTCGTAGCATGACTCTATATGTTTATGCGTGTTTTAGTAAATTATTAGATTTATATAAAATGGAAAAATAATGGAAAACAAGTAAAACAATTATTTTTTTGATTACTTCCTAAACTGTTACACTATAAAAAAAACACTATAATTCCAACGAAAAATTCCAACGGCAAAAAATTTCTGTTGAAAATTTCAATGAATATTCCAACAAACTTAATTTTATGTTGGAATAAGTGTTGGATAGTTGAGGAATTCCAACGGATTTTTTCCGTTGGAATAGCTGTAGGAATTTATTTCCATAAGATTTTCCGTTGGATATTTGCTATTCCAACGGTCATTTTTCCAACGGATTTTTAAACGTAGGAATATCCGTTGGAATAGCTATTCCAACGGAAATATAAAAAATTCCAACGGAAAATTTCCGTTGGAATGTATGAGTTCTTTTTGTAGTGGTTTTTAAGCTCTTACAATCCACATTCTGAAATAACTCTGGAAGAATTGAGAAAACTACTTATATTATAAATCATATCTACAATCCACATTCTAAAATAACTATGGAATAATTTAGAAAACTACTTTTATTTTATATATCATATCCTCACATTAATTTTAAGTGAGCATTATATCATATATGAATTATGATATAAATTGCATCCGCGGTTTGAGTTATGTTATAAATCATATTAGGCAACTTACATTTTAATTTAATTTAATTTGAGTATCATATCTTAGGTTATGAATCACATCCTCACAAGATTTTACTTATATTATATTATAAATTATATTTTTACATATGACTTGTAATTTTTATAAGTTAATTTACATGGCCCAACTTTGAAAAATTATAAAGAAAATATATAATTTTAAGAACGGAATATGTAATTTATTGTTGTCTACTACATCTCTGGAAAGTTCTATATATATATAATTTTTTTTTCGCCACTTAAATATTATAATATTATAGTTTCAAACCTATATTATATCTTAAATTAATTAGTATTATTTTTAAATTTTATATTTATTTAGAAAGTACTGATAAAATTGAATTTATACATACTATGTAAAACCCCAATACAACGTATTTTATTTTGAGTCATTTAGTATTTTATTCCGTTTTATATACACCACCATTTCATATTTTATTTTCACAAGTACTTAATATATTTTGTTTTCACAAGTTATTAATTTAGTATTTTGTTACGTTGTATTAAATTTTATATACACGACGATCTCATATTTTATTTTCACAAGTTATTTAGTATTTTATTATGTTGGGATGAGTGAAGTACAAATATAACATGTTTTAGTCTATGAGTGATACATGTACAAATATAATAGTACCTATCATCCATACATTCAAATTTTCAATCACCATGTCAATAATTATCATGCACAAGAATTATTATTATTATTATTATTAAGCTATGAAAATGACAAAAAGGGATTAATAGCTTACATACCAAACCAATAAGGACAAAAGTACATATGAAAGAAAGAAAAATAAAAAAATAAAATAAAAATAAAAAAAAAATAGCTTAACTGTCTTAATTGTCTATGATTTAGGACTTAATTAATAGCTACAAGTACCACCACTGAGAAAATAACTCATAATAAAGCAAATTAAAAAAACATAAACAAAAAATATCACATCACAACAAACTTAATTATCACCATTAATTATCTCTAATTGAACAATAATCACACATGGTCTAAAATAACTGCCTTACATAGGGTACGTAAATAGGCCTCTGATAGAACAACTCTAGGGTTTATATAAAACCCTAGCTAAATTATTCATTTTTTTTTTTCCTCTCAAGATTTAATTAATGCTTCATGTATCTGAAAGCCACTGACTGTAGATCATCAGCATCATCTTGAAAAAACCATTGAGTACCATTGTTGCTCGACTGCAGCTCGACCGAGTCCATGCTGTCGAACGAGTTCTTCTCCTCCTCGAAACCCGGGTTTTCGCACTTGGCCCCAGGGGCAAAATAGTCATCGACATTTTCTTGGCTTGCATCTTCAAATTGAGGCATTGTGATTTGATTCTGCAGCCAGCTCTGGATATCCTGCGGTAAAAAGGCGTCGCTCGTGCCGTAGAATTTTTGGTCGTAATTAGGGTTTACGGAATTCGAGCTGTTTATTATGCATTGAGCTGCTTGCTCTCTAAGGGAAGCCACTTGGGCTTGCAAATACATAACCTGAAAAAGGTCAATTAAAAAAAAAAAAAAATAGTACTAACTCACAAGAATTAGGTTTTGCACAAGTTCTTGTGTGTGTGTGTGAGGTAGACTAACGATTAGGCGGTCAGTCCATCGTAATATGATAACAAAATTGGATACTTATACTGTCAAATGTCATACTTCAGCTAGCTATTGTATTGTTTTTCAAAGTACAATATTTTCTAATGAAATGTTGCCTAATGGTTAGGCTGGCGTAACAGAATACTTCTCATGTTCTATTAGGTTTAATTGCTTCCTTTTTAATTCTTTTATTCCCTGTTAAATTAGGGTTAGTTGTTTCTTTTTCTTCTTCTTTTAATACATTTTGTCAATATGAAGTCAATGTTCAACTATATTTTCTGAAATTGGATAGATTTAAAGAACAAGAACCAAAATAAATAATAATAATAATAATAATAATAATAATAATAATAATAATAATAATAATAATAATATAATAAATAATATGAACCTGTTGTTGGAGAGCAAAAATATGAGAAACACAACCGTAAATGGGATCTTGAACCCTAGCTTGGGCCTCGTAAGCAATCGTGACGGCCGCTTCACAACGATCGTTAACCGGGAGTTGAGCGAGTAATTTGGACACGTTGCTAGCTCCAAACACCTTGTGAATTGCCGAAAAATGAGTCGAACCTTGCTCGTGACTGAAATAAGGCGCGAAAACGCAACCCTTTACGCATTTTCTTCTCAAGAACTTGCAGGCACCACAAGGGGAACCAGAGCCTGTCATTTTTTTTTTTCTTCTTTTTTACTAATCTTTTGTTTGATTGTTTAGTTAATGAGGATTAAAGAAGGTGGGTTCATTTAGGGCTAATTAGTGCAAAGAGCATTATTACAACATGGGTTTATAAATAACAAGGGGGGAGGGGGAGGAGGATTATATTTTAATGTGTAATTTATTGAATATTGTTCCCTTATTGGGCAACAAAATTCATTTAAATTTTCATTTTATTTTGTTGTTCTCCCCTAAAATATGTTATCTTTATTAGTTAAATAAAAACCCTTGTCCTAAAAATTTAATAATATAATTTAAAGATTCCATATTGAGTGTCCTTACAGGACAAATGAGGTAACACAAACCAAACCCATTTTTGTTTGTTTAAACTTCAAAGATTGGAGTTTAGCCTGAAATCTATCTTTCTGTAATTCCACTGTCACACAATGTCAGAAAGAAAGAAAATCTGCATGCGTGTGACAATTTTGTTCATCCGTTTTTGTCGGTATTATCAAGATTTTATTCAAGATTATTTTTTTTTTTTTTTTAAT